TATTTAGATAGAATCGGCAGTTTTCAAGTAATAGCTGATGAATTTGATGTAATAAAAGCATTAATGAAGGAGCTTTTTCGCGGTTTACTTAATTACTCTAAGAAATAATGACGTATTTTGACGAATTTTTGCGTAATAAGCTGTAAAAATTGAAGAGACAAGCATAAATTAATCAGCATCATGACGGTTGCTCTAATTTGTTAATAATTGTTGTAAATATAAACGTAAAATCCAGTTTTAAATCAAACGTTTTCAAAGTTTTCAATTCAAAGTTTGGCGATGTGCATTAGAAAAAAATCGACTCCAGCTCGGTAACATAAACAAGTCGAGAAGATAAAAAAAGTTGCCGTTGGGATCGGACGAGTGAAAAATATTTTTTTTAATATTTGAGTGACAAATAACCATCGTTTAGAGTACAATGGCGTTAGAAAATAAAATATTTCAAATTAAATTACGGACTAACCGTTAATGCGATTTTCGCGTAATATCTAGTCGAATTAAACATAGTAATTAATGAGGATACAAATTGTAGCTTTATGCTTTATTCAATTAACTCCACAAAATGAAGAAAAAAAATATTTTCAAATAAAATTCATGGTGGCCTAACGACCATAGTCTTAGGCTAATTAACTGTTACCAAAGTTTCCCAAAATTAATGAAACTAGATTGAAAATGCGAGAAAAGCGAGAAATCTTGTGTTTGGATTCTGAATTAATTAATAAATATTTATATACAACAAATTTGAATTGTATAATTATTATTATAATTATCATAATACATGATATAATAATGATAATTGAATTTGAAGACATTTTTTAACTCAATTACTTGAAAATATATGTAATTTAATAGAATTAGCGTAATAATCTGCTGAAATTGAAGTAAAAAATAATAATAATTGAAAAGGTGATTAATGTCTTTGAGCTTTATTTAATAACTCGTTAATTATTGGAACTTATTTAAATAATAAACATAAATAAATAGAATTAGCGAATAAGCTGTATAAATAAGCATAAATTCATCAGTGTCATAACAGTTTCCTTTTTAATTATAAATTGCTGGAAATATAATGATATATTAAATTATAAATCAAACGTTTTCAAATTTGTGCAATTCAATGTACGAATCGTGGTGTCAATGACCTGAAAGGTTTGGCGAAGTGCACTGTAAAAAACTTAGTTTTGGAGCTCGGCTTGCATGTGGCCTGTGAAAACAAAAAAAAACGTTGAGAAGATAACAAAAGACAAATCTATAAATAGACGCAATAGAAGTTTCTAATTGGAGTATAAATATAATACAAACTCAATACGAAATTAAATAATAATAGTATATAGAAATATGTAATTCCTTTCAAACATAAAGGAATAAAGAATTAAAACTGTTATTTGAATGAATATTATTATTATGCAAATAGGAATTTCATAATAAGATTTTAAGAAACTTCGAGAATATTTATCTAATTAATTCGTTAGTATTGTTATAATGAAATACTCGTAAAAATATTTATTTTTGGCCGTGAATCTCATTAGACGTGTAGCCAAAATATGAACGAATGATACATTTTTGTTATAATTTATATTTATTTTTTATTTTGATTTTAATACCCAATTAGAAAATTTTGACAAAGTTGCGTCTATCAGGACGAATTTGACCATATTGTCTCCTGTTTACTGTAGAAATCAGCAAAAAGTAAATTGTAAGAAAAATGACTTGTAAAATGGAACGCTTTATAGTATATTAACATTGTTTCACTATACGAGTGAAAATTTGGAAATTTTGGAACTGGTTAAGCTAGGTTCTACTGTACTTCAAATTTTCAACTCGAAACATCATTATAGAATACGATACGTATGGTGGACGCGCCGGGTACCAAAGCTTAATTCATTTAAATTATATTACCTATTATACGGACATTCATTCATTAATAATAATCAAACATTTTCAAATTTAGTGTAAAGACAGAGAGCTGAAACTACTAAAGATTCCAGTAAAATATAGAGAAAGGCAAGAGCAAAAAGGTATTGGTGACGAACATCGAAATAAATGGATGGATGGAAATAAAACAACTTACTTGAAATTAATGAAATGATTATATTCTTTACTAAATTACTCTACAGTTAATTATACAATAATTAATAAATTAAAAATAATAATAACTTAATTGTTAAAGAATAAACAAAATCGAAATCAATTATTCTTATTTGGAATATTTATTCTTATTTAAATATCAAATGTACATATTAATATAATCAATAACCACATCATAAACTATAGATTTTGTGTCGATTCCATATGATTGAATTTAGGATCGACAATTTTCTTGACCAGAACATTTTCGAGCTGATTGTATAATCTAATTACATAGTTTTTTATTTGAAATTATTCGCTATTTCTACCATGCGGAATGCGGTGCAGATATAAAATGTAATAATCGCTCGTTGTTACGTAATGATTCTCAATCGGGTGTCAATATTTGGCAATTAGATTAGGCTAAAAATGTTGAATTTAGATTTTGCGTATTTTATTTACAGCCAATTACAGCAAGCAAATTTGAATCAACGAGCACACAAAGTAAATAAATAATTATCTTGAATTAAAGCCGACTATTTATTTGTACAGTTGATTACTTTATTTGATTAATTTAATTGAGATTAAAAATTCATACACATGCGACACGTACAAATAGTAATTAATAAATTATACAGCATTATCATGTTGTTTTTTTTGTTAATATATTAAAAGAAAAATGCAAGTGATATGTTTTTCGAATAAATTTATTAAAAAAATAACAGTTTACTGGAATCATTGTCATGTAACAATTGTTGTTAAAGCTCTCATTTCTGATATAATAAAATCGTAAACAATAGTTTTGGCATCGATGCCCCAAAGATAATCGATATGATTGAAATTAGGATCTACAATTTTCTTAAGTGGTACGTTAAAAAGCTGATCGTATAGTCTGTTAACATCTTTCTCGGCCGACATCCAATCGTTCAAACTATAAAGCAGATAGACTGCAGCAGAAATTTTATTTAATTTATAATCAGGTGGACTGATTGTTCCATATCGTATTTTATTTGATATTAATCCATGGTCGTATTGGCGGAAATATCCTAAAATATTCAATTCAATCCGATATAAGTTATTCTTTGTTTTGTATTACCTGAATTCATTTCTTGACAGTAATGAAGAACTTGTTTTGTCGCTGAACTGGAAGGATAATGGCTGGTGATCACAGGTAACAAAGTTGTATTCATTTGATCCTTGTTGTAACCGGCTAACGCAAACATAGCATTTTTGCAGGCAAATTTTGGAACTCCTTCTTCGCAAACCGTTTGTGTAACTTTCTCCAAAAGACCGTCTGATGGATTAAATTCATAAGCTCCTACCAAATTAGATAAAACCTAATAATAATAAAAAAAATATAATAATTTTATCATTTAAAATGTATAATAATCTACCCCCAATCCACCTTGGAACAATGCAATGAATCTAATCAAAGGGCTGACCATATGATTCATAAAAGCAATTGGCGCTAAACTGAAGTGAGCCTTTATCTTCTGATTATACTCGGGTTTCTCTGAACACATAACATAGAAAGTTGTCGTTCCTTGCGAGTGACCTATGTGGAATAAATCAGAATGACCAGTCTTTTCCAAAATGTAATCAATCATTTCAGGTATATCGTAGATTCCGATTTCATGCCAAGAGAAGTTCCAAAATTCTTTTGCATCATTATCCGGATCTAATGTTGTATGATTACGAGAGTACCGGTTTCCTCTGGCATTTCCCATCCAAACATCGTAACCGGCATCGGCCAAAATGTAAGCTGCATTAAAATAAACAGTTAGCTAATATAATTTATATATTTTAACAAGTATTACCGAATCCTTTTTCGGGACCTGCTAAAACCCAGTCAGCAGAAGAAGCGATGAGACCGTGTTGAAGCATAACCGGTATACCTTTTTCATTGACATTTCCATTTTTACCGAAAGGAATGCGTTGCAGATTAAGTATATATCCATCAGTTGTTGTTACGTAATGGTTCTCGATGGGATATCCATATTTTTCAACAAGTTCAGGCTAAAACAAAAACATTCAAATATGTTAACATTTAAAACCACTTTATTTTTGTATAATTCCCAATGAACAAAATAATATCTATTTTCTTACAGCAAGCAATTTGGAGTCCTGTTCTATGTTATCCGAAGCATGGCCAACGCAAGCACATGTCAATATTAAAGCTACTATACTGGCAGTATTCATTTTGAGTGATGTACATTCCCAGTACGAATTTACACTATTTATATACTTTTTAGAAAATCATTTACATTTTACTTTATCATAATAAGCGTATTGTTGCATGTTTTATGTTAATTATTATGTATTTATTACGAATGAATATTCAGATCTGCAAAAAAACCCCGAAACCTATATTTATGAAAATTGATATTTCCTCATAATTTATTTTATTAATGTCTTTCGTTATTTGTACAAATTACTCATACATTTTAATTAGTGTTCACAGATGGCTACAATTTTTGAAAATTTAAATACAAAAAGTGGAATTTATTATATAAATCCTTTTTTATATAAAATTATTGATTTAGTACTAAAATAATGATTTAAAGCGATTTTTTCTATAAATTTCTTAAATTTTAATTATTAATTATTTTAAATATAGAGTAGAAATTATCATTTATTATCATAAAATTAATTAATTTTGCTATAAATATATTGTCCGAAAACTTTTTTTCGCTCAAAATAAAAATATTTTTTATTATTTCTTAATATTTCTTTCAATATAAATCTATAAAATAGTCAAAGTAAATAGATTATTTACGCTAAAATAAATAAAGGCCTTAGACACAATTACAATATGGAAATATTTGACATTGTCACTACTTATCTTATTTGGAGAGAAATGTAATTTTAAATAAGTTGCATGTTTATTCATATTCTTTGCAATTACACAATAATTTATGTACATTTTGTACTAGTTTATTTTTAAATTCTTAATTTTAACATTATCATTAACTATTTATTTATTTTTTTGCAAGGAAAGTAAACAAATTGCACAATACATTTAATGCTGCTCTAATTTTTCAAACACAATGTCGTAAACCATAGGTACGACGTCTATTCCCCACAGATAATCCAAGTGAGTCCATTTCGGATTATTTATCAATATCTCTTCAGAGTTTGGCAACCTCTCTGCTAACCTTTTCACATCCTTTTCATGCGACAACCAATCGTTTTTACTCCAGAATAAGTAAACTTTGCTAGAAATATTTTCCAATTTATAATTCGGTGGAGTTATACTATTATACTTTATTTTGTTTTTGATTAATCCGTAATCGTATTGACGGAATTTACCTAAAATTATATAAAAAAAATGTATTCTTTTATGTATCTAATTAAGCAAATATTTTACCTGAATTCATTTCTTGCATATAGTGAATGGCTTGCTTGCTGGATGAACCTGCTGGGAAATGATTCAAAACTACAGGCAACAAAGTAGTATTCAGTTGGTCCTTGCCAAATCCAAATATCATAAATAGAAAGTCGCTACATATGAATTGCAATTTTCCAGGCTTGCAGTTATTTTTCAAATACAAATTCAACAGATTTCCTTGGGGTAATAATTCGTAACTTCTGAATAATTTTATTAAAACCTAATATTAACAAAAAAAAACATATTACTTTAATATAAATTGACTAATAATTTTATATTACCTGAAGCAATTTTTGAAATAGAGCTGCAAATCTAATGACTGGTGAGACTGCATGATTCATGTAACCAATAGGTGCCAAACTTATGTGAGCTTCGACTTTAGTATTGTATTCAGGCCGCTCTGAGCACATTACGTAATAAGTGGTGGTTCCCTGCGAGTGACCAATATGATATAAACTGGTTTTATTGGTGACACTCAAAATATAGTCAATCATTTCTGGAACGTCGATCATACCAATCTCGTGCCAGGAAAAGTTCCAAAAATTTTTCGCATCACGTTTCGGATCTAAAGTCGTATGGTTTCTGGAGTACCGATTTCCTCTATTGTTACCAAGCCAAACATCGTATCCACGATCAGCCAATAAATAAGCTACAATGTAAAACGTTCACTTATCGATGATGATAATAATACACGCATAAATATTTACGCAATCCTTTTTTTGGACCAGGAGTTACCCAATCAGCAGAAGAACATTCAATACCATGCTGCAGATAGACTGGTAATTCTTTACGGGTAGCCTCTTTTTTACCATAATTAGGAATTCTATGAAGGTTTAAAATGTAACCATCTGAGGTCTCTACGTAATGATTTTCAATAGGATATTTATATTTCGCAATAAGTTCCGGCTAATAAAATTACATAAAATTAATTTGTTTCAAAATTTTAAAGTATGATTAACCTACTGTAGTCAAAGTGGAATCATCTTCGATGTCATTTTTTATTAACTCATTTTTGGCGTTGCAGCCTACCACTAATGTCGTAAGAAGTATAATGTAAAAGTGCATTTTGATTGCAATTAGTTAATATATTAAACCTCTTATGTGTGTAGTGGGATAACAATCTAAAATAAACATTTTTTAACAACAATGTTCTCAATTCTTAACTTACTGTATCTACTTACATGCAGAATATTTAAATGTTCATCAACTTTCTATCTACAGTTTCTAAACGACTTAACAAACCTTTTATATACATTATGTCATTATTATTATTATCCAAAAACAATATTAGTTTATTGTTTTTGGATAATAATAATGAGATAAAAAATAGTAATTAGGCGTACACGTGCACAATTAGAATTAGAATGGTTTAAATGACGTTATTGATAAGACAATATGCTGCAATTGCTGTTATTTCCAACGTTTATTATATGATATTCATCCAGTTAGTACAATGTATGTTTTATTATGTATGTTTGTAAAAGATAGTTAAACGTAATAATTAAAAAAAAAAATATTATAAATTGCACAAACTTTTATTTCAGAAATATAGTAATACATGTATATTTAGAACAATATACTTAATACATTGCCATCAAGCTTAATATTCTGTTGTAGACCAATTCAACAACATCAATACCAAACATATAATCCAAATGATTCCAATCGGAATCCAGAACCAAAAATTTTCCATGTACGTTTCCTAATTGTTCGTATAGCCTATTAACATCTTTAACGGCAGAAAGCCAATCGTTGCTACTGTAAAACAAATAAACTGGTGATGTAATTGCCTTCAACTTGTAGTTGGGTGGAAATATGCTGTTGTAACGCTTCATGTTGCCAATCAAACCGTAATCGTATTGTCTAAATTTACCTGTAATATATGTATGATTAAATCAAGTTTAAATTTGTTGTATAATAAATCTTACCAGAATTGATTTCTTGGGCGTAATGAAGAAACTGCTTTGTGGAAGATCCAGCTGGAGTATGTCCCATCATAATCGGCAATAACGTTGTGTTCAATTGCTTCTTGTTGAAACCGCAGAGGGCAAACAAAGAATTCTCGCAAAGGACTTGAGTTATGCCTGGCTCGCAGAAAGCTTTGGTAACATTATGAAGGAATCCGTCGGTAGGTAAAAATTCGTGCATACCAATCAATTTCAAAATGAACTATAAGTAAAAGATATATGAATAAAGATATTTCTTGATGAAATTCAACTTTTGCTTACACCAAGACCTCCTTCTGCCAGAGCAATAAGTTTAAATAGTGGACTTGTCATGTGATTCATGTATGCAATTGGGGCCAAACTGAAATGTGCCCTAATCTTCTTGTTGTATTCCGGCCTTTCTGAGCACATCACGTAGTACGAAGTCGTGCCTTGCGAATGCCCGATGTAAAACAATGATTCTTCACCGGTTTCTTTCAGGACAAAATCGATCATCTCTGGTAAATCGACGACTCCGATTTCGTGCCAAGAGAAATCCCAGAACTTTGAAGGATCTTCGTCGGGATGCAAAGACGTGTGATTGCGCGAATAACGATTGCCTCTAGCGTTGCCCATCCAAACGTCATAACCGTTTTCCGCCAATAAATAAGCTACAATCAATAGACATTATTAAACATGTACTGTATGTAAATACGCCTAATATTTACCCAATCCCTTTTCTGGTCCAGGTGAAATCCAATCTGCCGAAGAACTGAGAATTCCATGTTGAAGAAAAACTACTGGTCGTTTTTCGTTGCCCTGTCCATCTGAGCCGTATGGAATTCTGTGGACGTTCAGAATATATCCATCTGAATTGGTAAGGTAATAATCTTCCAGTTCATATCCGTATTTACGAACCAACTCTGGCTAAAATAAAGCAATTAGTAAATGTAAACAATTGTACTAAATTAACACTCACGACTCTCAAATGGGCATCTTCCTCGACAGCTAATGGTAGATCTTTAAAATAGTTTAGAAACTCAGGGTTGTTACGAACTAAAGCCATAACATCTTTCTCCAGGTCGTTGGCTCCTGCGCCAACAAGGAGCAAGGCAGTAGCTGCTATTATCAGATGCATTTTGTTTACTACAACAAATTAGAGTAACCCATTGACTTATATATACGCTTGCATTTTTATCTTCACAATATTTTATCGATAAGCAATACTCTTATCTAAAACTAAATTCAATTATGTGCGGTGAATAACAACAAGAAAAAAAGATTAATATTTATAGTTTTGCAATCAGTCAAAATCATTACCAAGGTTTAACAGGATTTAGATAATAATCATGGTTTTAAAGCTTATGTTTACTTTTTGTAGATAAGATGTTAGCACAAATCCATGTTAATCTGTGATTCATTTTATTCATTGATAAATATTTTATTATGATACACTTTGTTGTACTTTTCAAGTAATATAATTTCAACAGATATTACGTAATAATTCTAAACTGAAAATTATTAAGTTTACTGTCAAGTCTTAATCATAATCACTAATTCATTAACTACTCTTGCAAAATTGATATAACTCGTTATAAAGTATTATTTGGAAAGATGGTATAAAAATTTCGATATGGAAAAGGTTGGATTAATAAAATATTTTGTGTATTTACAAAAATCTTCAACATTTTATTTAAGTTAAAATAAATATTAATTGGTAATATCAAATGAATTTAACATATTTTCTTAATTGTATAGAATAATTTAATATATACACTATTAAAACTAATTAATTTATAAATTAAAGTTAAACAGGAAAACTATTATCTGTATTTATCCATAAGAACTATAACTTGATCGTAAAGCAGTCTTTTGGAATCGGAGCTCCATAGGAAGTCCAAGTGATTGAAATGTCGATAAGGTACTTTGAATATGCCAACTACATTCCTGAGTTTCCTGGCCATAGCCAAATTATCCTACAACAAAAAAAAAACAGTGATATTATTTCATTATTTTCTTGTTGTATTTAAGACATTACTTGTTTGGTGACTAACACATCGCCATCTCCGTAATGCAGTGAAACAGGCACTGTTATTTTTGATAAATCATATTCCCTAGAATTTGCTTTCTCTGTATTATTTGTGTAAACGTTTACATCCAAAGGGGCAAAGTATCCTGAAATATACAAACAAATATTAGTATATAAATATCAACAAAAATAATAATAAAAATAATGCAAACCTCTGGTGAACATTTGATAGTAATGCAGCATGGTTTTGATCGAAGTTCCAGACGGGTAATACTTAAAAATGTATGGGACGTAACTCTGCAATTTAATTTAGAAAATAGGAAATTACGATTAAAAAATTAATTGAAGTATGTTTTGATAGGATATATAATGTTGATAAAATATTTTAATTGTATCACGTTCAAACTGCGCATTTCTATTTAATTTACTCAAAATTGATAATATCAAACGGTTGATGAGAAAAATAAGTAAACAACCAAATTCCATAGTACAATTAATGAAAAAATACAATTATTTTTAATTGAATTACCATTAATAATAATAATATTGATTATTAATAAATATAATCTTACTTAAATCGCTGATTTTAGATAAATTAGATCTCCTTAAAATAGTGACATAAGACATATCAGTTAATCTAATAATATTGAAAATGCACTATTTGTACGAATGACACAATTATGTCTTATATTACGTGGCGTGGATGTAGATTAAGAAGAGTTATATAGAAAAAGAAAATAGTGAAAACTTTAATAGTTAACATACTGTATTAAATTGTTCATAATCCACACCGACTGTCAAATAGATAATAGACAGACAAATCATTTGAAGTGGCGACCGATCCTGACACAATGTCCCCAGCAGCTCGCTTATCAATTCACGCCGTGGAAATAACTCGTGAATTTTGTGATATCTCAGTGATTCCTGGAATAAAAACAAGTATCTCACATTATATTAATTATACAATGCAATTTTGGAATCACGACGCTGTCGACTGACTAAAAAGTTCATAGGTTGTATTCCGATGTTGATAACTTACCACCATAGTGGGCAAGGCATTGAACACGATTTTCAGATGCGGCGCTAGTCTGTGCGCTACGATTCCCGTCCCCGCAAAGTTTACCATCAAACTTATTTTCTTATTGTACTCCGGCCTGGTGGAAAGCATTATGTAGCCAACTGTACTTCCCATTGAATAGCCTACGTATTGTATCTTCGTTTGATTCGTCATATTCAGTATGTAGTCTACACTCGCCGGAAGGTCGTAGTAACCCATTTCGTGATAGCTATAAAAACACGTAACTGGTAGATATTGTTTAGGGAGTATCGAAATTAGACAATTTACCTAAAATTCCAGTAATTCATATCAGAATTAGGATCCAGAGTCACGTGTTTCCTAGAGTAATGATTTCCTCTGGAATTACTAAGCCAGACATCGTAGCCGGCATTTGAAAGGATATAACCTGAAACGAAAATATTCATTTATATAACAATTATTATAAACAATAAATTTTATGTATTTCCTGCAGACATGAACATGACTGATAATTACTATAATTTTAGAACGATTTTAAAAAATAATAACGTTATTATATTGTCTAATGAAGGTCACCAACAAATTACATTATTTTTATGATTCCTTAATATACCTTAATAACAAATATAATTTTAATAATTATTTACTTTTTTTTACTTTGAATAATTTGTGAATCTTATCGATTTGGATAATAAAAAAAAAACTTGTACTATATTAAGTGTATCAAAGCAACCCTGACAAAACTTTATATACTTTACATAAGTCCTTATCAGGTCCTCTAAACAGCCAATTCTCTGAAGCTCCGAAGATGCCGTGGTGTAACAGGACCGGTTTCCGGACTTTCCCCAGAGTGCTGAAGTTCTTCTCGTACGGAATGCGGTGCAATTTTAAGATGTACCCATCCTCTGTGACGACCTCGTGCTCCTCGAAAGGGTATCCGAATCTCATAATGTGGTAGCCCTGCAACGCAAAGTTAATTGAGGGATTACGCAATTAGCGACATCCTAGTTAATTGGCTACATGCAATGATTATCAAGATAATGGATTATTAGCTCAGTCGCAGCATATGGATGGTTATTGTTGTACAGTACAAGCTGTAAAATAATTGGTCGAAGATCCTGAAGAATACGAACTCCGCATAACTGTATATTTAATGTATTTATGTGTTGTGAGAGTGCAGCAGTGTATGAAATACACACATTGTACGCTCGTTTCCTCACTAATTTGGCGCAAAAAAAAAGTGTTTTCCACTTCTACATACATATCCGCAGCTCTTCAACAAGTTCGGGTCACGCTTCAATTTATTTATTCCCTGACACAATTAAACTACTGTACGTAATGGAAGGCCGAATTCACTTGGCGAAAGTAATTCCACACTACTTATTTGACAAAACACATACTTATTATTCTCTACTTTAGTTTTTTTTTTCATTCACACATTCTAATGTATGTTATTTTCTATTAATCAATTCAATGCATTTTTGTTTGTCTAATAAATACTTTATTTTCAAACCTTTGCAAAATTATGTTACAACTATTTTTTTAAATACAAGTATATAAATTATTCCAAACAATTCTTATTAGAAAATTGACCAAATATCAATGAATGCACTTGGATTTTAATATATTTACAAAACAGTGTATTTTTTATATAAGAAGAGATTTAGTATTAAGTATGCGTTTTTGATTTAGTATAGTCATATAATTTTGTGTATTTTATGTGAATTTTATTGTAAAAATACGGTGTTTTTACTGATGTGAATGGATTTTCAAAGTTGATTTAAAGAACATAAAAGCGCAGACAATCATTGATTTGCAAAACCGTTCTGGGAGCAGTTCCTTTATTTGGAGTACAAGCTGTCGAAAGCAATATTACATCCGAATGCACGAGAACGATAAAAACGTAATTGGTTTTCGTCCTGCACGTACATCTGTGGTCAGTTGCAAATGCAATGCCATTCCGCCACACGGAAAAGCGGTAAGCAAGAAACTGATTTAATTGTAATTGGTTGCAATCCTATAACCGTAAACACATTTAAATATATATTTGTAATAACACATCGAGTTATGGTTTAATGTGCTTGCATTATGATTATTTGATTAATATTACAATCAAAAACTCATTTGTATTAAAGGTGATTAAATTTTAGAAAACTAGAATTACATAGGATGATTCATCATAAGAAAATATATTTTTTTTATATAAAGCCGTAATTGTACATCTTTTGTGGGAGTGAAAGTTAAAAGTGAAGAACATTTATGATTTGTCACACTTCTTTTTCATCTGGCTGTGTTAAATACACAGAAATGTATATTTCATTGTGGTCAGAGCATATATTATACCGGATTTCGATTGTGGAATGCACGCGTGCCAGATGATGACGATTTTAAGAGATACAAAAATGGAAATACGGAAGAGAAGAGAAAGAATTGGATTCTCTGAAATTGAAGTTTCGAAATTGATGTTCAATGAGGAATAAAAATGGAGAGTTGAACAATGCGAGAGCGGGCGTATTTGGAGAATTTATTATACATGCTCATACGACGATGATGAGGTAAAACAAGGTCAAGGACTCGACACTGGCTGAGAGCATTTCTCTTCTTTGGCGCCTCGAAATGATTTAATTGCAGCCCGAAGCAAGATTGCGCCCAATATATTCACAAGTAAAATTAACATATGGTGAAAATAACGAATTTAAATCATCTGTAGCAATTGTATACTTAAATGGGGAGAAATTAAAATAATTATAAACATAAAGAATTTTTATAAATCCAATCTCTAAGTGTTTATACTTAGTTTAAATTGTAGGAATTATAAATTTCTAACTATTGTACTTTATTTAATACCATAACATTCTGAGGTAATGCGTTTTTTTCTTCTATTTACGTTGCCCCAAATATATAGGGCTTTTGACCTATTAATCAAAAAGAAAGTTGGTCGTTATTTCGAACCTGAAGAGCAAGAACGAGTAGATGCAGTTTAATATGTTTATACACAGTTCATTGACATTAAGAATTTAAATATAAAATTGAGAAAACTTCATTATAAATATAAAATTCCAAATAATTCGAGCAAATTGTATAAATTCTTCTTTATATGTCTCAATTTATTCATTAATAAATTTAATTGGGAATTGGAAATTGGAAATTCAATATCTAACTTAGTGTAAAATTATGTATATATTTTGAATATCTAGAATTCACTTAAGAAAATATGACTTTTTTATATCTATACTAATCCAAATTAAGGTTTAATTGGAAATTTCATGCAAATTGTTGTTCCAAACATAAAAAAATTTAAACTATTTCTATAAATTCTTCTTTATATGTCTCACTTTTTTCATTAAGAAATTTAATTGGGAATTGGCAATTCAAGATCTAACTTAGTGTAAAAATATGGATATATTTTAAGGAATATTTACAGTGAGTAATTAATTAGTATTTCGTCCGTGGGTTTAATTGGAAATTTCATGTAAATTGTTGTTCCAAATATACAAAATTTAAACTATTTTTTTTTTCGTTAAATTTATATTTTAAACCGTCTAAGATAGTTTCAGTGATTAACTAAAAACGTTAAATTATATATAAAGTTACATTAAGTACGTTTTCTTCTAATCAGTAAAATCCATTAACTGAAAATAAACCATTAATTCCAAATTACAAGAAGTACACTTATTTTTTTTATGACTTAATAATAATAATTTAAAATGTAGTTAATCATTGTAATCATTGATTAAATACTAACGATGATTAAGTTGCGGTTAAGATAATGCAATGTGCTTTGGTTAACTTACGGCATCATTGATGTAGTCGTGGTCTCCGGAGTGAATGTCCCTCGTCCCATTGCCGTCGCGGCTAGCCGCAGCACCGGCTTCTTGGGGCTCCGTTAATCTCGGCCCGAAAATGAGTTCCAGCACGTCCATGGCCCTAATACCCGTCGTCAAAAGTCCTAAACACACGGCGACGGCCCAGCACAACCTGCCCATATCCATTTGGTCTTTGAATTCATCAAACCAGACGGCACACGCTTCCCAGCGCTGCGAATTTCATTGTCAATGTTACAAAAAAACACGCACACACACACAACAGACACACTCGACTACTTTCACCAAACACAATAACACTTCTTCATTTATGTCATCTCTCGCATCAATTAATGGTCATTGTCATGGAGCCGCGACGACCACCATCTGCAAAGATACAAAGATTTAGAGGTGCGGAATATATCCCGAATATATTTTTTTCGACATTTTTGTACAGTTAGGTTTCGCAGTTATTATTACGTGAGCAGAATATCAAAAAAAAAAACAAAAATGAATACTTGTCGAGCTTGTTGTTTCTTTCTTCTTCTTGCTCACCGTTCATTATTTTTTTTGTTGTTCCCTTCCTTAAATTGGTATGCAAATGATCAAGCTGCAAGGCATCATTTATCACTCTTGTGTTTCGTTTCGCCTAGGTCAGGAACTGTTTGCGGACGCGATTAATGTGCATAGATAAAATGCGTTGCGTGATGAGTTGTGTAAGCAATTTGATTTTTATTTGGAACGAAGGAGAAAACAACTCGATGGAATCCAGTAGTGAAGTGATTCCAACAACTGTTGGTCGAGTTGTCTCCCCATGCTGCTGAGTTCAGCCTACATTCCCGTATCTTCTCTCTCGCATAAGAAGACCACCAAAAGAAATAATAATAATAATATTTACAAGAAGAATCGACAACGAAAATCCTGATCCGAATTGCGTAATCCGCAGTTATTTGGAGGAACAATTGAAAGTTTTATTGGTGTTAAAAGTAAAATACGATTGGATTCGCTGAATGGATATGAAAATTGAAACGAAAATACTATAAATAATAAAGTTTGTTATTGTTTGTTTTCTTTCTTTATGTGATTAATTACTCTTCGAAGTTATACAGACCGTGAACAGCAGAAAGTCGGTGAAATTAAGTATCTAATGATCATATGGCTCTGTGATATCAATAATTATTCTGTACAATGTATTTTACTTTGCATGTTGCTTTATTTGTAAATGCAATCATTTCAACGGTAATTAGTGTAATGATGAACAACAAACAAGCCTTTCGTAAATTGATTCATTACACGTTGTTTGTTACTGTTCAAAGTTTATCCATGTAATTGATGTTACGTTTTTCATGTCTTATGAACAATTTACTAGTTCTAAAATAAATTTAATGGGATTTCATGACCAAATGCAATTAGTAAAAACATTATTTTATACATAAATGAGTAACAATTCTTTTAAACTAGAAATAAATGCGATTTAATCGATGACAACTTTTCAAAGTTAAATTCTCTGTATATCTAATAATAGTTGATTTGTTACCTTTTTTTGTACAAAAATATTATAAATTAATTGAATAAAATTCCAATTAATAAATTATTAATTATTTTACAAAAAAATTTAATAGTCGAAAAATGAAAGAAAATAAAATTTAAATAGAATTGGATTTGTTGACAAGTTACTAAATTATAGTATGTAACTTCTCGAAGAAAAATAACATAAGTAAAAATTGAAATAAGAGTGTCGGGAGTTTCTAATAAAATCAGAGCCAAAGCAAAATTTCTATTTCCCTCTAACAAAATTAATTTAGCGAGTAAATATTCGCGCATGCAAAAGAAACTTACCAACGAGAATAATAGTACATCGCGTTATCCTTACACATTAAAGTTTTCCTTTTGTCTTCCTGTTGTCACAGCGTCGAATATATTCCTTGTTAAAAAAAAACGCTAGATATTTCCGTTGGGCTTTGAATAGTAGTCGTCGGTTCATGAAAAGAATCGTACCCGGAATGTAAATGATTTACCGATGATAAATGAAACGGACTCGGCCACGACTCGCTCCGAACTACCAGAGTGTAATACTTTTATAAATACATATGAAATTTTCGAATGTTACCTGTGTCACGCATAAACCACAACTAACCCATGCACACGAACATCCGTCCGTATTTATGCAGCAGTCCCATACCACACAACAGCTTCTTCCTGATTCTAAACTAAATATTTGAAAGAAAAAACAACACGTAATACCTATTTAGCAACAATTTTTCTCTCATGTTGATCAAAACAATAATTAAAACTCTCATTTTTTTTTCTATTTTAATTGAACCAGATAATATAAAAACACGCAAAACTTTGTTTCATCAACATTATTACAACATTATTGCGTAGATACATTTTAGACATTTTTCTAAATACAGCATATCTGGAGAATAAATCTTCACAGTCGTACATATTTTGCAATAAGATACATGCAAGATTCTAAAACAGAAACACAAATTCTGCAAGCAGTCTCCTAATATTATCATCATTCCGTAATAAAAATGTCATAAACTATTATTTTTTCTCAGTACTTTATTTAATAACCTTTTATTTTGCAATTAAATGTATGACTTTTAAATAGGTAGCAATTTCTTTCTAAAGATTATTTACATAGTTTTGTAATTATCTTAAATCTTATCAATTAATAATATCTTTTATGTTTTAATAATCTCTACTTTCATATTACTATTTTTTTAATATAAAGTAATTATAAGATAAAAAAGGAGGAAAACTCCCTTTGTGGAAATGTGTGAACTATTGAACAATAATTATAAAAATAATACTAATCATGAAACTGAAATAAAGCAAATTTTCTGCTATTATTATTATATTTTTTTGGTAATCTGAATAAATAGATCAAAGCATAAATTTCAAAGATTGTATACATTAGATATGGTCCAAATCTTTCAAATTTAAATTTTAATTATTATAGTTGAAAGTATATTAATTTTAATCCAATGCCAAGTATTAAAAAAAGAACGAAAGTTAAACAGATAAAAATTAATTCTTTCATGCAAAGTAATCTTACTTTCCATTGAAGTTTCACTATTATATTAAATTTTAATTCTTGTTAATTTATTTGCTCTAAATAACCAAAGAAATTGAAATTTGCCATTGTCCATTTAATTAAAATCTAATTAACTTTACTTTTATTTATTTAATTATCCACATGGCAATACGTCGATGTACTATATTTATTCTTTTTGTTATATTTATATTTTAAACTTTATTAATGATAAGAAATGTATAATTACAAACTTGTTAAAAGAAAAATATTGATTTACTATATTTGGTTTTATATAATCCATTTTTGTTATGTTTAAAATATGTTCAAGTAGAAAGACAAATACAATTAAAAAAATGTCTCTATAAAATGATTTTAAGTGAACAATTATTATATTTATAATTTCAAATCTTTAATTCTAATAAATATCTAATTTGCTTAATTTGGGAATAGGAAAAAAAACTTCATTTCGTATTCTGTTTATTTATTTATTGTATTGAAAACCAATATATATCTATAGGTTACATTAATATATAATCATACTAACCTGCATAATCCTTCAAACACTTATCGGTTATAATGTTTATCCATTGGGAATAATGAAGTAGATTTTGATTATGAAATAAAACTGGGAATTCATAAAAGAGAAATGAATGAATAAAGGTCAGGGTTTGTATTTTCTTTTATTTTAAAAGTTTAATATATTAATATATTAAATTTTTACAAAAGTAGTTTAACATATATTTATTACTTTTTAATAAACTCATAGAAAAAACCCTCGATCTTTATACATCCTTGTCGTTCACAAACAACAACAAAAAAAAAAGAAACTTTAAATCAATATATTTATTGTAAATAATTCTGTTCATTCATTTTTGTATCTTCATATTTATATATTTACAAATTTAAAAAAAAAAAT